TCAAATTTTCTTCGAAATTGCGGAGTAGTTTCAATACGAGATACTTTTCATATTTTAGCATCCAGGCAGTGCTGAAAATATTGAAGAATGCCTTTTTTGTACGAAAAGCACTTCAGAACTGCTGCTCTTCCCCTCCATTATGTGCTATTTCACGAAACAAACAGAAACCTTCTTTATTATTGGTCATATTTTAAGGTTACAACAAACACTGCCGGCCATAGCTATCGGTGAGTTGCACATGTACAGTCTTCCGGTGTTGATATGTGGCGAGTTCTTCTTCTTCTCTGTGATCACCTGTTTTCTCGATGGCTGTTGTTGTTGTTGTTGTTGTTGTTGTTGTTGCCGTGGTTCTCTCACGAGTATTCCCACAATTCATTAGAATTTGAGCTGATTCGTGGACAGGTTTCAATGATGGCTCGTGCAAGGCTCCCAGTGGGAAGTCGCTTCGCTTGACCTCGCAGGCGACGCAACAAGGAGTGTCGGTCCAAAGACAGATCCTGAAAGGCTCCAACCCATCACGGCCGAGTGGAACTGCGAACGGGGTCATTTTACAGAATGCAGGTAAACAACGTCATTGGAAGCATTTGTGATGGTGATTGACGGAGCACTTCTTCGGAAAACGATCCGCGGCCTCGCTATGACGGCTTGGCACTCGAGAACGACTGCGCAGATGACGCAGCGATCGACGGTGCCAAACCAACGGCTCGCCAAAGCATCTCTGAAGTTTTCATTGCACATGCATGTCTTCTACTAAAACAGGAGCGCAGGATTTCGAAAATTTTCTGACGCTTAGAAAGGCATACAGTTGACGGCCTTCTACTACATCACCGAAGAAGCAGTCCTATGCGAAGAATTCGAAAAATTTTTACTCACTACCATATCGAGTTTTTTCGAAAAGCGTAAATAATATGTAAATCGGTAAAAGGGTACCCGAAAAGGATCGAAGATAAATGCTATCTCCAGATCAGTAAATTGAATTTCCGATTCCTAGCAGATAGTAATGATGCTGATCAAAAATAGATTTTAGTTGTGTTTAATATGACTGAAGCAGGAATAAGTCAGGAATTAAAATCACCAAAACATCGATAGCGTCAGCTCAATGGACATATTTCAGTGTCAAACACATCATAGAATTGAGCTGTATTATTAGTGACAAATCCCCAACCCCTGACCCTGATACCGATCCTTTTCCATTCAACTCTAGGTACGTATATTCGGTGACCCTCCGGCCTCCTCGCATTTTTTTAACCAAAAATGTGAACTTGAACTAATATATTTATCGCGATTCGGGCATTGACAATCACTGATAACGGTCATTATGAATAGTCGTCGTTAAGCAGGCTAAAGCCTTAGAGCATCAATCGAGCCGTTTCTTGGGATTCACTTCAGCATTCGACTTCGAATCAGAATCGTAGTGACGTCCTGATCGCGATACAACGACTTGCGGTAGCTAGACAATGCGTAGGTCGGTGTTTTTATACTTCTAGACAAGTCTGATACCTACTAAGCAACCTCAAAGGGTGAGACTTGTGCGAGTATTGTCGCTCCGGAATTCGATCCGTGACCACTTTCCTCTTAAGCACCTCCATGCATAATCAATCATAAATCTAATGAATCTACAGACGGTCTTGTAAAGTAAGCTCACATCGAAACGTTTTTGCCAGTTCGAGTGCACCTGCTCAAACTGGTGAACGAATTCGCTAAACATCGGAACAGGACTTATTCTGTCCCGTTGCGGGGACCGCATACCTTTATAAAATAGTCTTGAAAAATTTTTCTCAAAATCAAAATTACAGTTTCATTGATGGTGGAATGGGCTGTAGTTCCAACTTTCATTCGGAATTCCGGACAAATTCACAAAGGAACTTAGCTATTCCATTGGCCAGCGAAATCTCTGTTTGATATCGTTCCTTCCCAAAGCTATATGACAACTATTCACAAAGCATTGAAGAGCTGGTAAGTCAGAGAGAGGGTTTGGATGCAGAAATCTTGCAGCTTCCCCATGAAATGAGCCATTTTTGACAGCAATACCCAGTTACATAGAACTGTGGTTTTTAATAAGACTTTGTGGGAGAGGCAAACACGTTCTCTTTGATTCCTTTTCGTTCTGTATAAGTAAGCTGGTACTGAGCCTCTATGTAGTTATGATGAAATGGAACATTTCAGACCATCGATCATTTTCAGGATGGCGAAGCTGGAATAAGTAACATTCGACAAACGTTCAATCGGAAATTCATGAAAATAAATAAAGCTGCTTGACAATGGCTCAGAGAGATTCTTGAATTTCCTCAGACATACCGTGTTACTTGTCAAATAGAATTTAATCAATCTTGTTCCTGAGTTTTCGATACTACTCGGCTGTTTTCTTTGCCGCGGCAATGAGCAACGTCAGCGCATTCGTCTCAACCGTAGCGTATGGATCTTTGGCAGAACAACCTACGGCTCATGTTGGAATGGACAAAAGCGATAGCGAGCTCTCCGAAAGAGCTGCTGCCATTCCAGACAGTGTCTTCTACTCTGGTATTTTCAAAATATACGTTTTTAGAGGAATTCCGAATAAAGTTGTGACCTTGTTCCAAGGAAACAAACTAATTGTGAATTCTAATTTCGTTGATCACATCGTAGTATGTTGCCAAAGTATGTTAGTGATCCCGGCTGTACAATACTCGCTGCAATCATTCACATGGATCGGAACTGTTCGAGAAGTGTCTAGGTTTCCCTTAGTTTTAAGTATATATGATCGTTTTATAATTTTTTCTTGTTCTAGACAGATGAAACGTATGTCTTATTGGTGTTAAACTGAAGAAAATAAATATTCTGATCACAAGTAGAAGTTTTTGTCTGATCAAAGTGAAGCCATTTTGAGAAGTCGAGCAGGTCCACAAGTATCAGCCAGAGGCTCAATACCATCGACGGAAATGCTGCATGAAGGATACTAATTTATCTAACCTTCTCCTTCATCCTAGTTCAACAGAGGGGTACCGAATACGGTTTTAAGATTGAAAAAGTGATAAAGGTAGCGGTATCAAATTAGGAGAAAAGAATGATTCCAGAAGAAAACCTGTCAGGGTTGTATGCTGCTTCTATAATATTTCTCAAACAACAGGCCTATATGAGTTTTCTGAGCTAGGGTGGGCCTAAACTGCAGTAATATTCGCTCCATTTCAAGGATTCGTCAGACTCTCATGGACCTGGCTTGTAACAATGAGTTCAAGGTGAGTACTGTTTTTTGATAGAGTGTTCCCCACTCGATAGGATTATGTAGTTTTCCGTGTATTCGGTGTTTTTGGATGTTTCATTCATTCTATAGATAGTAATAGCGTCCACAAAGGAACTCCAGAGTGTACGCTGGCCTTAGCTAGACCACAGGTCCTATGCGAAGAGGAAGAACTGCATGCGACAAATCTTCTTCATACAGTAACACATAGGGAACGACGTAGGTGACAGGAACTATTGAAGACCTATCAGGCTCGTGTGTCAAAGTAAGTGCGAGCTTGGTGAGCTGCTTAGTTCTCCGGCACAGATCACGTCGGCTCAACCGCCGCCAAGCTACACACCGATGAAGTGGGAGCATTAAAAGGACCTCTCCTCTCTACACTCTTGCACAGCGGTTCCCTTTTTTCAAAGAAGGAGATGCAAGTTTCGGGAACAAGACCCTGTAAATAGGCCCCCACAGCAAGTTATTCCTACATTTTCAAGTCTGTAAAAGGGGTCCTTGAGTTTAACAACACATACTGGATCACATCATGAGTAATATCTTGTGTCAAATGGTAACTTTCTCTGAACTTTTGTTACTGGATGTTCTTGCTCGCTGCTGTGACTTGGTCACAGTACGGAAGTCCTACAAGGAGAGCGGATTAGGGGCAAAACTTTAGGCTCGCACGGGATTCCATACTCGTGCTTTCCGGACACTGTGTTCTTTATCCCTTAGACTACCGAAACCTCGCTTGTTAACACTACGGCACATGCGTGAAACCACTACCGTTGGAGCTTGGGTACATAGCTCCCTCAACTGGAATGTTCCCCTCAACTTGTTAGCCAACGTAATTGCGGATGGTGCAGAAGAGTCGTGATTATGCATGGAACACAGCTTTGATTGTATTATTTCGAAATCAAGATCGGAATCTGATTTAGACTTGGCTGAATTCTACCAGTTGGGTCTACCATTCTTCGAAATTCGAAATGGCAGCAGTTGCAGAAATGGCACCCATTATCTCAAAGAGCAGAAAAACTTCTCATAAAAGCTCATGATCCTTGAATAGGAAACAATTGTGGCGTCATTTGAAAAAATAACATCATTTATGGTATAAAACTTCACAACTCATCGAGTCTGAAAAGGGTAAAGCTATTCACTGGATCAGGCATTGTCAGCTGTTCAGTTCTTTCTTAAAAGCACAGTTCACGATATTTCATAAGTCGAAAAGCGGAAGTATTGGTTAGGAATAGTGCACCGATGGTGAAGTAATGAGAGGGTTTAGCGATTTAGCGAAAAATAAAGAATCCTTAAAATTAGTGAAAATAGTGTTCGTACGAGATTACCATGACAGAAATGACATGGAACGGGTATTCGGACGAGATTTGATTTGCTGCAATTGAGCAAAGAGCTGACTACATCAAGCCAAAACAGTCCCGACTAATGCTTTCCACTATCGCCATGACAATTTGTTTGAACTTCCTATATGGGCTCCCTTGTGAACGATACAGCTTCAACAATGCCGTTGGAACTCGTCCATGAATACACACGCGACAAACTTCGAGCATCTACGCCCTATCTAGATCGTTTCCCAATTTACAACCCACATATGGAATACGAGGGGGCCAGAAATTCACCCTAACGAGATATATCATAAACCATTTTAACGGAACGGTAACTTTAGGATTATTAAACAATACAAAATGAATCTAAAATCATACAACGAAATTCCATAAAACCTGCTGGTAAACCCAATCTGATCTCTTTGGGATTTCTGCATTCAAGGTTTCGATGGTGTCATTTCCGTTTAACTAGCTGTGTTGATTGTTACAGCCCATATTCGTCGCTTTTTTCCAGGTAACATTTTTGTTACCTGGTAACGTATCTCACGATTGAAAGAGAGGTAGATCACTCCATGAAGACCTGAATTAGCACCATAACAGAAGAAAAAAGCTCAGATGGAGAATAACACGAGCCCCAGATCCTAAACTTACATAGCAACTCAACCTGTAATTACAAAGTGTGGCGGTACTTCTCCCCGAATTCCCACGGCAAGCGACGTGGTTCCGCTTCGACCACCGTATCCTTCCACTGAAAATTCAAACCTTCCCCTTATAACGCGCGCCGGGGCGCGACCGGACTCGGCGAGAGCGACGCGATATTTAGGGAGAAGTTCCCGCACCCCATAACAATTGTAGTCCCACTATAATATAATCACTACATGATACAACTCAACAATAAAAACAGTTTACCGTGGCTCAGTTGCCACAAAATATTGGCAGCGATGATTGTATTACGTGTCAATGAGAAAAAAGTCATCAGAACATGAAGGGTCGATGTTATCGTGATCGTTGAAGAGATAAGAAGAACTTGAATCAAGACCTGCAATGGATTATTATTAAGCACATATAATTAACATAAAGATCAATTGTGGACGAGATCCTCAGAGAATGCTGGGAGCTGTTGCTCGGTCTCAATTCTGGCATTTTAGGGAGTACGGCGAAGTGTGGATATTGCCTCTTGCATAGCTCTCATGGTTTTGATGCGTTCAGACTCTGTACCTTTATGGGATGCATCACAGGACTTACCAAATTTTGTCAAAGAAGTATCGATTTTACTATGCGTACTATGCGATTTTTTGAGGTCTGGGGTCCATAGCGAACAATGTTCCTGCTTCAATGCAGCTCCAGCTCAAGCATGTAGCTTGTTCTCATCCCAGATGCATGCAATACATTCACAACCCTCCTTGTTACTAAAAATCCTTGTTTTGGAAGTAAGTCCAGTTTTATAGTAGTCGAAAAGAGTTAATGGCACGGTCCACGATAAAAATGGTACTGAGTTCTCCCCTTAGGAATACTCAGTGGCCCCCATGGGTGGTAGCAGGGTCACTCTCGCTACCAAAATCTCCACAATCAGTGCTTAGTGGAAGCCCTGTTGCTGTCTTGGTTCACTTTCCCGCCTCTCGATCGATGTCACGTCAGACAAGTGTCGAGGCAATACAGAATGCGAATATACGTTCTAAGACCTACCCACACTCAGCTGATCGCCTAGAGATGAGGCGATGTTTTTAACTCATTCTTTTTTCTCCTATTCTTTTTACTTGCAAGATCCCTTTCTCAATTTCCTACCCAAAGAGGCTGACAAAGAAGACTATTTTTGCTGTTACTAGGTTATTTTGTCCTTCTGGTCTCTTTCGTTCAGTTCCATTTTTAACGATTTTTCGAAGCCTTTTTTCCCTTCGGAAGCACCAATGCGCGCGGTTCCTTCGCCTCCATCGCACTATTTTCCATCTGATCTTCCTTTTTTCGTCATACTCTGGTTTATCCAGAATTATCGTGAACTGTGCCTTTGAACTGAAACTGAACCCCAGGGTCACAGGCACTCATACACCATTGAGGTTACATAGAGAAATCTTACGCGAAACGTGAAAATAAAGGAAAAACAGACATTTTTTATTCAATTTCAGACGGGAGTTATATCGACTGATAAGGTACACTGTTCATACCTGTGCCTGTAATTGATAGTTCCTTCCTTTTGCAATGCGAGGCATTCTGATAATATACACACATAGAATGGTGTACAGGCTTAACATCACCACGACGAATGTGATGTTGTGGATTGGAACCAGTAGTGTAGTAAAATGAGCTGCTTCCTTAAAAATTTTCGCTTTCCTGATGATCTTCAGCAAGGATCATGATCGCATAATTTTCCTTCTGGGTTTTGTTTTTTCTTCGCTGCCACTACACATACCTTTCGATAATATAAGCTATTTTTAGGTTCATCCAATCTCGCTTTGGTATACAACCTATTTTCATACCCGGTAGGCACCCATTCTGCTCTCAAACAGAATGGCAGGAGTTTGGTTGGTATGCGACCACCGCACAATTTGGTTTTAACCGGTGTTTCTACCAACTTATTTGTCCCTCTTGGCACTGAGTAAAATTTCAAAGTAAAATTTCTCCTCCCTAAATAGAGCAAGATGCTATACTGTAGCACTTTATTCTGCCAGGAAATTCACTTTTCCGCATTGATTGGTTTTTTTAAGGCTGATGAAGGCGATAGTAGCTCTGATTTGATATTCCTATTGACCACTTGTTCAGTACGCGGTGCAAGTCTCACAATGTTAGCCGGCAGAATTGCATTTAACCTCAAGTACTGCTGAATAGAATAAAATTGTATTGGAACTATGCCGAGATTCATTCAGAGTCGAACTTAGAAACTCGCTCGCATTTCAGTCGATGGTGTGGACGCGGGAGGAGGTGGTATAGTGATAAGCATGGTCACGGCTTCGAATTTCGGTTTTATATGTCCACCGGGGCCAACCAGGTCTTCCATCTCTACAGGGTTGATTGGTACCAGGCTTGTCTGGGAAGATAAAAATACTGACTTGACATCGGCTGACCACTGCAAGCCATTATATAGGCCACATACACGTTCAACACACCACTGCTTTTCTAAATGGAAGTCGAATGGGTGGGCACAACACTCAGACGGGATTGATTAACGCCCAAGACTTTGTACTTTATTTTTTAAAGTGTGTGCGCATTCTTTTCAAGCAAAAAATGAGCTTTTATTACACAACGCTTTTCCAGAATCAAAGTGGAGTTTAGACTAATACGGTCATTTGCAATTGCGCCATGTGCTCTTAGCGCAACTGCGCACGGTTCGTGACTACAGTATTTCTGTTGCCTCAGGCTGCTTTCAAATATAGCCATGTAAGGGAGAACCAGCCGATTACGTTTTAACCCTTCTTATTGTGAATGGTGATTCCTCTACCGCTGAATGCCGCTAAAACACGGACGCCTCTAAGTGTGACTGCAGACGGAGTCTGACCTCAAGGGACCCGGTAACTTCTTCCCAAAAATGACGTCGCGTCCATCGCACCCGATCGCGCGCTATGAAGGGAAAGACTCGAACTCCCAGTGCAATGGTAGGGTAGCCGCCGCGTGACCACTGCCGCTTGCCGTGGGAATTCGAGAGAAGTTCCGGCATCCGACATCAAGCCAATATGAGCCCTATTTGGACCGTTTTTTCCTTGGACAACCCCATGTCGCATATTTCGAAGTCAGTCTATCTTGCAAACTATTTCTACCGAAATTTGAGGAGTTTGCCTTTCAATAACTGATGCTCTAATTTTTCATTGTAGCTGATCAAATTTGACTTACTTTTTCATTGTCGTCAGTAATTACAGGAGAACTTATATAGGCAGCTACAACTGTGTTATACGGATGAGAACGATTCACGAATGGAAGAACTATCATGTACGCTACAGATAGTGTCATCCACAAAAGCAAAGCTCTACCTAAAACACTACTGTTACATGGAATGAAAACTTTTCCGAGGAACGTATATGTAAGTTCTAATTCAAGTTGAAGTCTGTAAAAAAATAATACTGTTAATTCGCAAAGCTACAACGAACCTTCGAACAGAAAGCGAAAACCTTCAGCAAAAGGAATCATCTCAACTATACGATTCAATGCTAACACTATACAATTGAATGAAGCTCCAGACCATACGCCTAAACAAATATATGTCTATCAAGATTGTGTTGCTGCTTTTTCTGCGAAATTATAACAATGTAATTTGGCATTCTATTCTTCTTCATTTGGCGTCCCCCAAATCAAATCACTAAGAGGCATGCCCTGTTAAATTAGGAGGATGGCAAAGTTGACGAAAGTGGTCAATTAAAAAGATCTATTGAAATGAAAGTTTTTTCCAAGAGAATTCTTGAACAGCCAAGCCCTTTTTGTTTAACTGTCGCTTGAAATGCTGAGCAAATTTGAACCGCTGTTTGGGTCCTTCCTATGACTGCATAGGCTATGTATCAGGTTGAGTAAAAAGTTCTGATCAACTTTTCCTCCTCATTTCCAAAAGTCTTGTTTTCATTAAGAAGGGATCTCGACCAGTAATATAGTCTCCCACTATATGTCCAACGATATGGCAGTTTTTCCATTCCTGAAACCGAAAACGGCAGCGGCCGCGATATGAAAAACTGGAAAACTCAGATTTGAAATCCAACAACCACCAAATTTACTATCCCGAAGACAGTTTTAGAGCAAGAAACAAATGCTAATCGGACGGAGCAAGACCTGGCGAATAATTTGATGGGACAGATACATCCTACTTCGGCAGCTTTCTGTCGAGACAGCAACTACATGGGGTTGAGCGCTGTTGTGAGAGAGCACACATTTATTCGCAGCGACGCTTCCTTCGAATAACGTCGGCTGTACTCTGTGGCTGCGAAGCGTGAATCTTGGCGGTCGATGAGATAGGTACGATGTGAGATACGATGTCACTTCTGAGTGCGCCACAGATGTCTGCGACAGCCGTCGATGGATTGTGCCCTCACAATAACTTGTAATAGACGATGGCTCTCAGACGTATTCGTCGACAGTTGAAAGATGAAGCCATATTTGTGAAACATTTGCAGGGGCATATTTATATTCCCCTAAAGTACATGTTCGGATCGATCTACCAGGACCATTACGAAATTCTTCCGAGTGGCTCTCTCGAAGAATTTAGAAGGCGATGAACAGTGGATCATTACTTTTTACTCAACCTAACACTATGGAGGTTTATAAGGTTGACAGAGTTGAATGTATGAATGGACTTACACCACGAGAAATAACCAGCGAACCAGTCGATACCAACTGAAGTACAAAAAACAGCTCCAGTCTAAACAAAATTCCATTTTTACGTGGCAAAGAGACCATGGGACATCATTACTATGAGAATTCCTTTATTTTCGCATGCAAAAATTCAACTGCTCATAGCGAGAAAGTGAGGGGCGACAATTTTTCAGAAGTGCACTCTTTCTCAGCTCTAAGAGAGAAGTGCAACCTCATCAGGTCATGTTCAAATCAAAAACCCAACACTTTGATCAGTTGCTGGGTTCTCTTTGGATGTGTTGCCCACAACACAGAAGTCTGTTTTCCTATGAGTATGGCCAAAGTAGCTCGAGAAGAACTCCCTCAAAGAGAGCTTGTCGAATTTTGTGAGGATCCATGAAACGTTTGGGAAGGTGACGCCAACAAGAACGACTAGGGCGACATTCAGGAGGAATCTGGGGGAAGGGCGTTGTAAAGAGAGCGTCTTGAACAATGTTCGATCCACTTTTGCCTTTCCCAAATGGTTTTTCATAACGACATTGTTTGTTGTCGAATGTTTTGAAATCTCATCACACTTAAGCATGTTATCTGATCTAGTGTGTGCAAATCACTTTTCTTGTAAAACAAAAAATTCCGACCGTCACAAATTCAGCAAACACTTTGAAATATCCCGCATCCAAGAGGGATTCTTTGCATATTTAGTGTGAATGAAGAAAAACTACTGCCTCATATTAAAGACATATTCATGCTTATTAAGATGAATATAACCACTTACGAGATGAAAGTATGCGGGAAAGAATGAGCTGGCAATGATGTCCATAATGTCGATGATGCCATTGAAGAACATAAGACAGTAACAGGGTGTCCTTAACAGTTTACCTCGAACCATTCCGATCAGACACAGTACGTAAAGTATCTGAAAATCGTGCATAATACAACTCCGTAGGTAAAAAGCGAAGTGGCTTTTTCATATCCGTCTCGGATCTCATATTTATTGTTTTCATTTTAAAACTGAAGATAGGCTGATTTGTGCCGTTCTCTTCTAACCTAGATTTTGCTTTCGAATCTTTATTCGGAACATTCTCAGGAAAAGATACGAAATGATCACCATAAGTAGCTCACGATATAAAAGGAGCCGTCAAAAATTGTTACGTTGAGTGGTTTGCGTGATGCAATGTCTAAAGGCCGGTTCACGTTAAAAATGGATTTCTAGGCTTTCGTCTTTGGATGAGCCAGTAACCCCAAGGATAGGAGGGTCGGAAAACGGTCAATTTCATCAACGGCCCCAAAACCGGACACGGAATGGAACCAATTCTCCTTCCTCTAGAAACCTACTTCACTGCCTTTGAATACAAAATGGCACGTCGCAATTAAATCGGCATTCATTTGTGTGTGCACTCGTGATGTTTCATTCCTTACCTTCACCACTATCTTCTTCCACTTACTTTAAACTAGTCGGTTTTAGTTCCCTAAAATGAAGCCTGGAAGCAAGGCCTAATGAAACTTCCGAATAGTTTTTCGGCGCAACAAGGAACACCGTTTGATTGAGTTTATTTTCACCACAGCTATGAGTTTTTGTTGATTAACCAATACCAAACTTATTTCATGTTGTCGGGCATACCTCAAATAATGTTCCTGTCACTGCGAAATAGATGCCCTGCACATAATTCACTGAACCTCTACTCTCCCATTCAGATTGCGAACGACCACTGCAGTTATATTCCTGCTCATCCATTATCCATGGTGTATTGAAATAAAATACATTCATGCTAGTATGGCTGGAATTACATCTGATTGTTTTCTCAAAATCAGACTTTCTGAGGATTTAAGTAGTGTTGAGTAATAATAGAAGAGAATTACGGCCAGGTCGAATGAATATCGAGATACATAATTCAAAAAAAGGCCTATAGGAGGAAGCTAAGCAAAATGTCTTGAGGTATTCTGTGACGAGCTTCGAAGTTGATAATAGCAATTCCGTTTTGCTCGATACCTAAGTGGTACTGTAATCTTAGTAAATGATACTGGAAGTGAGAGTCTGAAAATTGCCAAGTCTCTTGATTGTAGGTAACAGCAGACAAAAAGCAGGTTGGAATTTACGTCTAACAATCAAAGTTCTCTTTGGAGGTTCGAATTCGAAACCCCTAACTTTTTCAAAACTCGACAATCAAGATTGGGAAATATGATAACAAAAGTACTGGGCTACAGAGAATGCAATTCATTTGGATCGCTGTTGAATTCATGACAACTATTTACTACGCGTAACGTCTACAAAGTGGATGTACGACTATCTGAAGTAACCGTCCCTTATGCACCAATTATAGCTCGAAGACGCTCCTGCTGCTTACTGACAGGCCACGCAGGGATTCTTGAAGAATTTCATTAATCATTAATCCTCAGAAACAGAAACGGTGGTGCGCCTTAGAGCACAGGTTTTCCTCTCCAGTGGAGATCATACCCACCGACCCAATGGCTGCTTTCATAGTCTGCCGGCCGGCGTGCACGAGGCAGTGCTAGGGAGGGGGAGGGCGGCAGACGGTCGGTCAGCCCCTCGAAGGGCTGTAAACAAGGATAGACAAGATCAAAAACCATTTGTACGATCCCCTGTTTGGTTTTTAATCTTGTTCTCCTTTGTTTTCAACCCCTCGACCGACCGTCTGCCGCCCTCCTCCCCCTAGCACTGCCTCGTGTACGCCACCCGGCGGACTATGAAAGCAGCCAATGACTTGCGGTCTGGAAATATTGTAGACCGATTGGAAGCAAGGAAATAGCAATAGAATAGCGTCTGTCTTGATCTTTTTCCATTCGTGAGGGGGTACGCGTAGTTCTCAAACCGTACTTCTATACGAGTCAGTGACCCTTAGCAGCGCCTTCTCATAAATGTTTCTTTTTTTATATGTTCTGATGAATATTTGTACCTAAGTTTAGCTATATTGCTCTGATGGTATAGATTCTAGCTCGTACCATCCTGGAAGAGGGGAAAATGGCTATGAAATCGCCCTTTGTGGTGAGAAGCATACGTGTCCCCTGGGACTTGGACATTTCTTCAAGGCTAAACATCTTTTTTTTAGAAAAATGTGTGTGTGCCGCGTACAGAAAAGGCGCGGCTTTTGCTCTTTTTCTCTAACTTCTGCTCGTCGAGAAGCTCAAGTGGCTTCTGAAACCTATTTGGATACAATTGCAATTACTCGGTGAAGATCTTTCTCATTAAGACAGAACATACATTCAATTCGGCAGTCATTTTTCTCTTGTTTCTGCAAGTTTCATTGCGTAATCATTCTCGAGCATTTGTATTCCAAAAAAGGGTAGCCACTCACCATCTTGAGGCTTGTCGCGATTCAAGAAACTATCATGCGAAAAATGTCGAATCCACGAGCAATCCCGGAAAAGGACTCACCATGCGCGCCAAGAGGGAACCGCTGCTGAATTATTGCGAGGCCTTATCACTCTTAGGGAGGTGTTGAAGTGAGAGCACCAAATCAGACATGTGGGCTAAGGTATATCATAAACAGGTATATCGTAAACATGAGGGATGTGCAGGCTTGGAAAGACTCTCCAGANCTCACCATGCGCGCCAAGAGGGAACCGCTGCTGAATTATTGCGAGGCCTTATCACTCTTAGGGAGGTGTCGAAGTGAGAGCACCAAAGCAGACATGTGGGCTAAGGTATATCATAAACAGGTATATCATAAACATGAGGGATGTGCAGGCTTGGAAAGACTCTCCAGACAAGGAAATTGCTTAGTTCCGTGAAGTCGTTACCATATTGATGGCGCACCCTCTTTATTGATGACAAATCATTTTGCTAAGTTCCCTGTAGTAGAGAATTTTACAGGCCTCTTGAACTTACGGAGTTTATTTGGTTCCAGTGACCCTTATTCGATGTGCCTCATTTCATTTCAACGTATATTGCTCAATAGAAAAATGAAAGAGCGCCAATGGCACAAGCGGAATTCTTACCTGGATTGCCCACAGAGTCATGCTTCAAAAGTTGAATATTCGGGTGGCTTTATGAATATCATGTATAATTTTACTTGAATGGTAACGATTTTTTAGGTCTAAAATTAGACACCTCTCTTGTTCTTGCTTTCACTGAAATAACTCCCAAAAGAAATGACAGCTAGGCATCTCCCATGAAGACGCAATATAAAAAAAGAGAAAGGGGCTCCTTACTTTGCGTTTCCTCCAGAAGAATAACGATGAGCCGAACTGTTAGATGGATCAGGTGAAACTATAGCTGTGTTCTACGGCTGCGTTTTACCACGAACAGAATGATTTCCTTAAAAGGAGTTCTGTGAGAGATGTGAAATATTCTTACCCCTTAAACAACAGTAGTGATCATTCAACCATATATACGTTCTGTATGCATAATGTCTGTGTGTATGCGTGCGTATATGTGTGTTTGTACAACCGAATGTTCATAACTCCTGTCCTCGTGGACCTGAAGGGTTCATACTTTGTAGCAGTTCAGTGGCAGGATGTGACCTTTAACGGTGTGTTGCAGGGCCCTGCTCCGCCTGCAGGGGCGGAGTTTGCACGAAGTAAGTGCTCAAGTGAAAATTCATAGTTCCTGTTCTTCGTACTAGAGCGTTCAAACTTGGTAGGTGTATAGGCGGCAGGATGGAAATACCCATAGTAATTCATACTCTTATATCTTCAGACAGGAGGACATCGAACATGTCGTATCCATCTATTCGATATCGATGTTCATTTTCAAGCTTGGCTAGTCTTAGCTTGAACAGCCTCCTAATGCTCTTTAGAAGTCGAAGTTGATGAAGCTCTTCGAAAAAAGTAATGAAAATTACTTTTTGAATTTTCACTACAAGGTCAAGAACGGAGGGGTCTGGGTGGAAGCATTTGACTCAGGACCACCTTCCATGATTGACCGCTCAGTCGTGATGTTCATATTTGAAGGTACTAAGCTTTGATGCAATGGAAACATGGCGAGCGGTTTTTGAAGGAATCCGTAAGTTATGATATAAGTCACATTATTGATGGATTCTGTATTATATATTTGTGAAAGAACAGCCTTGGTGATGATGTGGTAGTTCCTTTTGATCAGATATCCTCACATACAATGCCAGTTTAACCCATATCTTATGGAGCCTACAGATGAGTAGGAGAAAAAGCTTATGAATGATCCATCAGAAAAATGTCAAATCTGGTTTATTCATTCATTACGACAGTGTCAAGCATGGGTTACTCCTAAAGCAACAGAACCAAAGCAAAGAAAATAATACACTGAGATATATTACATAGTAAAATATATAAACTCGGAAGAAAACGTCTACATCTGATGACGGAGCTTGTTGGGCAACCCAGAGGTGATGAGGTTGTGACTGTATACTAGACACATCTCTGTTTTTCTTTCGGTAAAACGAGGTTTGAATTTGGCACAAGTTTGGCTATTTCTCAGTGGTGGGTGTGCTATTTCCTTAACCTGAGATTCAAAATTATAGCAAACGTAAGATTTAACAGACACAGTTCACGCTGAAAATGGCTTCGGAAGTTTCTCCCTAAGATGAATCTGTGAACCCCAAGGTTAGTCTGAGGAATGCTGTTGGGATAATAATTAAATATAGTACGTAATAAGGGTCTCCAAAACCGGCTTGACCGACGTGCGCACCTTAAGCGGGCGTGTTCTTATGCGTTGCAAAAGTTGTAGAGGTAGAGGTTGCACCATTCGCACCTGGAACTTCACCTTGCACGCAAGCATCGCATGGCAATCAGCCGAGTGCATTGGCGCGCGCGTTCAAACAGCTCGTCCAAATACACCTTCGATGACGCTTTTTCGTAACATTCTCGTCCAACCTCTCATTTTACTTATTTTTTGAAATTTTTGAAGCTTTTACTTCTATGAATAGGCTGATTTCTGCGTTCTCTTCCCTACTTTTGCAATTCAGGGCTATCATTCCCATTACCGTTTAAACTAGATAACCTAAAAATGACGTGAACTATGCCTTTAACATATCATTCCATGAAGCATTTGAATATAATTCGAATACGCCCAAGGTAAGAATAGGACTATCTCCAGAAGGAGAAATATAGGAACAAACTCACTTAAAAACGGCATTACATCAGGCTATGAAGTGAATTGCGTGAGTTCAAGTGTTTTCATGAGATGGCATCTTGCCCACACCTTTCTTTGCTAAGACCTGTTACTCATTACAGCGCTGAATCGAGAATCATTTCGGATCGTCTGATATAGTGTTGTTCTGGTTAATCAGGATTTAAATTCTTTCAGAATTTTCGCATCCAAAATCTTGGTCCTGTTATTTCCGCTCTGGCCCAGGTATTGATCGATACAGTACGTGTTGAACTTCCTTGCTTCTTTCTTGGGAACATCTTCAACACCTCGTAACGTATATCGTGATTGAAACTGAGATAAATGATCCCATGAAGACCTGAAAAGCTCTGATGTAAAAAGAAGTTGAGCACTGGTAAGGATGCGAACGCTAGGTCTTGTTTCATCGAGTAACACAGCTCACAGTGCAGTTGTAATAGTTCGGTCCTGGTGATTACTGTACGATGGAAATTGAACATAAACAATTTACCGTGGCTCAACTGCCATAAAACATTGGCAAGAACAACAGCATTACGTGACACAGTGAAGAATATCATCAAAACGTGAAGAATCGCTGCTACAGCAGTCGTAGAACAGATCAGAAAGACTTGAATGAATAGCTGTAATTGATTCGTTGAGCAAGCAACATCATAAACAATAATTGAAGAATACAAACTCTAATTTTTCTTCAAAACTGTTTCCATGTGCATTAGTTTATTGCCCTCAGAAAACTTTGTAGAGCGTATGTAATACGGCTGATTCCCTTTTTAGTCTCAACCATCACGATGGATTTAACTGCGTCCTACAACTCAATCTTTGGAAAAGCGTCATAACCATACGGAGATTTTCGAAATGTTTCGGAGCATTGCAGTAGCTGAGCAACAAGATGGAAGACTCTCTCACGATAGGCATTGATATATAGAATGTGCGCCGCGGCCGTTTCAGTGGCGACCCTCCAATTCAACTAAAACTGGCTTTCAGTGAGGGGCTATTAAAAAAGTTGTATGTAAAGACATGCCCTTTCCAAACAGTGTACTTAAATGGAGACAGCTCTATTTCGAACCAGTTTTTCTGAAATCAGTCGCCGCCGTTTTTGGTCGGACGAGTAAGGCTAGGCAACGAGCAAGGGGTTTACAAGCTTTCTTAGTATAAACTACAGGTGCACTGAAGTAATTACTCATGGGGAGGTCTGGAAAACATTACTTCACTTGAACAATACCAGAAATTAGCTGATTTTTTCAATCAGGCTGTACATACCTGCACTTGCACTTTGTAATTCCTTCCTTTTGCAGTGCGTGGAATTCTGATGATGTAAACGCATAGAATGGTATAAAGGCTCAATAACACAACAACGAAGGTGATATTATGGATTGGTACCATCAGGGTAACGTAATGAGCTGTTTCCTAAAGAAGAGAACAGTTTTTTCTGTTTTCTTTAATTCAATTTCAATTTCAAATTCCAAGCCTACTCAATATTGAAAGCAAGAAAACGAGATTCCTTCTTTTACTTCTGTCTGCATTTCGTTTTTCCAACTTTGATAGCTGCTTTTAGTAGGTTGGCGGGGAAGGTTCTTACCCCTCCTTTTAACGACACAAAATTTCCGACAATTATCTGGAACCTTCTATCCGGAACATATGTAGAGAATGTGTAATGCTGCTTTTATGACTTCAGAAATGTTCTTAACTCCGTTCAACATATGTAGAGAATGTGTAATGCTGCTTTTATGACTTCAGAAATGTTCTTAACTCCGTTCAGGTTCGACCCTTCTGTTTTCAAAATCGAAAAGCACTTCACCGCTGGTGATGCTCAAGGAGACTACGATGCTATAGGGCTTCAACCGCCACTGTGCGAAGCTTCAGTGCCTCGACACTGTAACGAGTCATCTTCTGTTATTAATTAAAAGCCACATGATCTAACCGGGCGAGGGTTCAAATCCCATGAGACGTTTCATGGTTACCCAGGTATATCGACAGACTTTAGAGCACCGTACGTATATAGAAGTAAAAACGCTTAAATAGTTTCCCACAAAAATTCGAGAACTCAAAACGTGCGCTATCTCTCCGTCATAGGTCTCTTGACGGCTGGACAACTGCGCATATACTGAAAATAACTCCGAGAAAATCTTGAGAACTTAAAAGCTCCTGAGGAAATTCGTACAGCAGTTCTGTTCCATCGAGATTAGCAATATAGATTCTATCGATGTACTTCGGTACTCATTCCACGTTCTGTGGGAAGTTTGAACCCTTTTTTAAGCAACCACCAGCTCTGATGGAGAGAGATGCTTGTTTGAATTTTTCACTTTCGGCAAACTTTTTCCTGGCTCGACAATCTGGTGACTAGCGACGAGAAATGGTGTTCTGGAACCACACGAGGTGACGCCATGGCTTTGGACTCGAAAAACGCGACGTTTCAGCGTCACAATCGCAGCTGTATCACGAAAGAAAAATCCTCAGTGCTTGATAGAAACGCAAGAGGTCATTCATTGGGAGCTGGCGCCAGTGGGCTTTACAGCTTCTACCAAATCCCTTTGCGCGTAACTGGATTGTGTCGCTGCTGTCTGAGGGGAACAGGACAAGCTCTACCTCCTCCATGACGATGCTCTGCCTACTATGTAGTGTGAGGGAGACACAGCACTGACTTCAGATTTCAGGATGGCATGTTCTGCTCCACCGTATTCGCGAAGCTTAGCACCAACGGATTTTATATGTTTCTTTCGTCGTTAAATCGGTACATAGTCTATATTTTTAAGGTGTGAGAGTGGGTCTTGCGATTGTCGGTATGTGATTGTCAATATCAGTCCCTTCTGTCTCCTTAACCCCTTAATGAGGGATTCAACCCGACCAGCGAATAATGTATTTTTTTCATTTACAGGAGCTGAATTACTGGAGTATTATAAATTAGGCTCACCTTTTCTTCGTCGTCCGTAATCACAGGCGAAGGGATGTAGGCAGCCGCAACTGTGTTATAGGGATGAGAACGATTTATGAATGGTAAAACTACCATGTATGCTACAGATAGTGCCATCCACAATAGCAAATTCTTACCTGAAACCATTGCTGCTGAAGTGGATTCAAAACTTTTTGAAGTGTATGTAAGTACTGATTCAGATTGAAATTTGTAAAAAGCAGAGTAATGTCAACCCACAAAGCTATAACGAACCTTCGAAAAGAAAGCGTAGGCCATTGGCAAATGGAATCATTTCAACTATACGATTCAAGGCTAAGACTAGACAATTGAATGAAGCTCCAGACCATGCACCTTAACAAAGATAGTTCATCAAAATGCGTGCGATTGCGGTTGCCGTCAAAGTAAGGAAAGTAACTTGAAAACATTCTTCTCATAGTACTTAGCAAAATTAGTGCCCCAGCAATCGCAATCAGAATAGGTAAGAGACAAAGCAGGTAAATTGGGGCAATGATGTACTAGAGGGCGGAGGTGATGTAGTGACAAGTGGCACACTATCTCACATGCATGGTCACGGGTTAGAATCCTGGTACCGATATCCGCCTAGGCCAACCAAGCCTTCCATCTTTTCGATGTCGGTTAATTGGTGCTAGACCTGCCTGGAAGGATAAAAGCTCTGACTTGTACATCGCCTGGGAACAAGTCATTGCATAGATCACATATGCATTCATCGCCCTTTACGATTCTGAATGGAATTCAAGTGCGTAGGCGCATCTCCCAGGCGGGATTAATTAACACCCACAAACTTTATCCTTTATCTTGAGATGTGCTACAAAAATCAAAGATTAAGCCTCAATTTTGACCTGTCCAGAACAACCAAGCCCTTCGTTTTTTTTTGCTGGCTTTACATATGACTGCGTCAGCTACGCAACATTGTATAACCCATTTGGGTTCCGAGTTGAAATAGAGTGTTGGACGGACATTAAAGCGTAGCAGCGCCGAAGGCAACTAATTTCATTTTCTTTCACTGCGCTTCCACAGATCGACCCTGCTTATAAATCGCTAAAAACACTAACACCAGGAAGCGTGTCCACCAAACCAGTTGATAGCGATCGAAGAACAAAAAACAGCTCCACTCTAAACAAAATTCCATATATTCATTGTAAATATAGTATACACAAAGTCAAATATTAAGTTTTCAACCATTTAATGTAAGTAAGAGAGAAGTGATTAGTTTCAACTGATAATAGAGACTCCATCACTATAAGCGAATAGATGGAGCAGCCACAAGGAGTTATATCATCGTCAAAATATTGCTCAAAACTTTTCGACACAACTCTGAAGAATCATTGTCTCGCTCTAGCGATGTACTGTCGTCTATTCTCTTGGAGGATGGAAAGGTCAAGTCTCTGAGCATCAATCCCGGCTGGGGGATGTCTCCTCATTCGACTTCCATTCAAGGTCGTAGGGACGTATTGAACGCATATGTGGCCTATACAATGATGTACGTTGGCTGACCGATAACTACGTCAGTGCTTTTATTCTCGCAGACGAGTCTGGTACCCAAACCCATGGTACCCATGGTTCCCCTAAGGGATGGAAGGCTTGGTTGGCCTGGCCGGATATCGTCCCGCGATTCGAAACTGTGAGCCACTTGCCACTACACTGTCTATCTTTTTTGCCTAACGAAAACGTGCTCGAGAGCACCTGTCACCAAACTCATGAGCGAGAACTGTGATCGTCTGAGCTGAGAACGCTTTTGTTCGATACCTCCCTCAAAGAA